TTCCCGATTGTAGCAAGTACTCCGATTTAAGCTCATCTGCCAAAGAAGATGACCCACAGCCAGCAGTGGAGCAATTCTTGACTCTACACTCAACTTTAAAGAGTGCCCTTCTCACAGTCAATTCCCTGTCTAAAAATACTCTAATTGGCTCATCCCCAGATAGTCAAGAAACCTTGTCTGAAGAAACACAAAAAGTAATGTCAGAAAGGAGAAAGCAGGCGGCTTCTTGGGTTAATGCTGCCCTAGCCACAGATCTATCACCATTCTCTGTATATAGTGATCGACCAACATTAACATCGCTTCCAATATCCTCCCAACCTCAGAATCCCAAACAAAATTCTGGAAATCAAGCCTTTATAGTTCTTGAAAATGCAAGCAAGAATGCGTCTCCGAAGCCTGTATCTAAACCTCGCTTATCAGTTAGCTCTAAGACATCTTCTCCTGGGACTCCACGTCGAGCTAGTGACCAGCTGTTAATTAGCCAAAAGGCTCGTGCCCCACCGCCTCCTCCAGAGTGGGACCGAGGAAACGGGCTTGATGAGTACGTGGATTTGGCTGAGAAACTTCAGTCTGAGTCACAGAATTGGTTCTTGGGGTTTGTGGAGCGTTTTTTGGATGCTGATGTGGACTCTTCTTCATTGTCAGACAATGGTCAAATTGCTGGCATGCTTACTCAGCTGAAGAGTGTCAATGATTGGTTGGATGAGATAGGTGGAGGCTCAGCCAAGGACGAGGAGCAGGAAGAAGAGGAAGAAGACGTGGCTCGTGTATCAGGTGAAACAATTGATAGGTTGAGAAAGAAGATATATGAATATCTTCTAACACATGTCGAGTCAGCTGCTGCTGCACTTGGGGGTGGTTCACAAACACTCCCACCTGTTCGAACCACAGAAACTAAAGGCAGAAGATAACCATTTTTTTTTCTTCAGATTTGGTTGGAACAAAGCTCCCAAGTCAGCTAAGATGCAGAAATACTGATATAATTGCTCCCCTAGCCGTCTTTAATGTGCAGAAATTTTCCCTTCTTTTTTCTGTATAGTAATCACCCCTTTGAAAATCAAGGTATACATGAAGTTTGCGGTCATCTATGGTGTTGAAACGGGTAGTTTAGGTCAGGTTTACGGCTTCTATGGGCTTTATTTTGTGGAATTTGTATGCCCATTGTACACTGAAAATAGTTTCAAGGAGAAAATTAGAAAGCTTGTTTCTCCAAATGCAAGCCTCTCCTGTACTGGTTCTGCTAGTAATTTGGTAGATTGTTAGAATTTCATTTTAGATTGCAGAAAGAGTGCATATATTGAATTGATTGGATATATATTAATTTTATAAATGAATATTCTCCAAATTACAAGCAATCTTGTGTTTAATTTTGCTATGTCATTGTGCTCATAAAGAACACTGATCGGGATTCCATTCTAGATTTTGTGTTTTTTTTCTAAGATTCTGTTAACTAAACTAGTTGATATTCATATTTCTGTGTCAATATGTAATGTTCCGGAAATCTGACCACCAGCCAATAATTCAACTTGAAGAATTTTCAAAGTGCAAGTGGTCCAAGACTAAGAATGTGATCAACTCTTTACAGTGGTCCATGAGATATGCTGTAAAATGCAATCTTCTAGCCTGTTTGCACCTTCTTTTAAGGGAGATTTCTCCTTGGACCAACTTGGGTTTTCAATGAATGAATTAGATGGGGTACTTTGAAAGAATCCTTGTTGTTTCGTACACATTTCAATGTATCCTAATTTCATCTCTTTAAAGATAATAAATTCTGAACTTAGTTGGAAACTTGTTTATCTTCAAGGGATTTTGTAATACGAAGTACTCTATTAGGCTATTAGCCCCTCATTTGACATTTCTAGCAAAGTAGCAAAAGCTTTAAATCTTTTGGAAAAGTCGGGGCCTATTTCGATTTACTGAAAACAACTGAACTGAACTAATTGGGGTTGAAGTGAATAGAGCTGAAATGAATTATTTATGAGAGAAGGAAATTAGGAACTGAATTGAGCTGAAATGAATTATTTATGAGAGAAGGAAATTAGGAACTGAATTGAAATTAAGTTGAACAGATTAGGTCCTAACTCTTTCTATATACGGTTGTATCAATTAAATATGTACGAGTATTCTTATTTTATTTTTCACCAAAAAAAAAAAAAAAAATACTTATTTTATTTAAGTGAAAAAAAACAATTTTAACTTATCAAAATATTTATGATTATTCTTGTTTAACATATTTAAATCAATCTATACAATATTCCTGAAGTTTACATTGATGATAACTATTTCAAACCAAATATTATATTATTTTTGTTTTCAACAAATTCATCTATTCAAGACTTCCTATTGCGAAGTATTATTCATTACTTCAAAGATAGATGGACTTTTAATTACCCAAACAAAACACTCACAAAATCAAAAGAAGAGAGTAGGCACTGTTGGTAAAATGTCACGAATTCACTTCCAATATCTTGTACCATTTCTGCTAATATTATGTGGACTATTTTATGAGAAAAAACCAACACCACAAACCCCAAATTAGTATCACTAGCTAGAATTATTCGGAGTTACTAAATTCTATACTTGAAACAATTAATCTTCACAAAACTCCCCAATAGAAACTTTCCCATCATTGAGCAATATAAGATGAAGACTAGAATAGTAGATAATCAGGACTTGATGTTGCCAGCACAAAGTTTCACATTACACAATCTCCAGTCAAAAGCTAGACAAATGTATTTAGGTAAGTTTTTAAGACAGCTACCATTAAGTCAAAATTACACAATGACGAGCAAATAACCTAACCATCCATCAACTTAATCTAGAAAACGAGGTGCAACTGCTGCACAGATCGAGGTCCTGCACTCCTGCTTATACTTGGGTTCAGCATCTTCTCCAACATCACATCACTGCACTTATCATTAAACGTTAAAGCCAGCATATATTCAAAACTTGTTTTCTGGTAATGAAATTGAAAGATTAGATTATTTTGTTGGACAACATTACCTTGAGCTTGTTGATTTCCGAAGCCATATACTTCAAATCATGTTTAGTGAATTCCTTTGGGCATTGATGTTTGTTAAATTTCTTTGTCCACTCAGCTAACACTTTGTCAAGATTCAGATTGCAAAGAACAGACAATGAATATCGAAGAGATGATATTCGAGTAATACCACACTGAGTCGCAAGGGAAATATAGTCTTCCTAGATAAATCGAAGTAAGACTAGTATTTGGTATGCCGCTTTAGTACACAAAGGGGGGCAATCTGGCAAGGCCATGAGGTTGTGATTTTAGACTAAAAGGATTTGACAATGATTGAGTATATATCTTGGGTCGATCATCCAAAAGAATAGTAACATTGATCAAGACGTGGCCCACATGATTAACTCAGGGTGACTCAATGTAGGGGTTTAGGTACTCTAAGCGGAATTCCACTAATCATAATAATACGCACCTAAAACAGGATCACATGTATAACGCATAAAAATCACATGCATAATTCTACCTTTAAAGCATCATTTCCACATTGCGATTGACTATCAATTAGGGAGAGAATATAGCCCCTAACGCTACTCCTCTACTTAGTTCATGAGATTCGATTAAACGTCCACTAATGTTATATATTGGTCGAATGATTGAGGAAACACCACGATCACCACCTTTGTGGACGACCGACACCGCCACAAACCACCACCAGCGCAACGAGAGAGGCGGACGTGAGAGAGGGAATGAGTGAGGGGTTTGCTTCGTGTTTGCTAATTAGGGTTTGTTGATCAAATGATTCACATCAGCTGTTATATCAAACCCTAGACACCTAGTCTATTTATAATCATATTAGATCTAGACTAGGTAGGAAAACCCAAACCCACTAAAACTCCTCCAATGGCCAACCACCTGGAGGGAAAGACAATTTTTAATAGCTGGACTCGAGCCCAAACAACTGTCCATCGTTGAGAAATGAACAGTTACTATAACATAAATGAACATTTATTAACTTGACATATTTTACAATAATTCTGTATTTTTTTTAATAGCAATAATTTTGTATTTAATTTCTGAATAATTAAATGTCCATTTTTATGCAGATTTTCATTCTTATAAATAAATAGTCATTTCATGCAGTATGATGTCCAGACTTATAAAATAACTGTTCATTTTCTTTTTAAATTAATACAAATTTTTGTGTTTGTTCAGTTGTATAAATTATTCATATTTATAGTATAGGACGTTCAATTAACATTAGCATTAATATATTAGACATTAACATTTTGTTCATTATTAAGAAAAACATATTGTTGATTTATTTAATTGGTATTAAATCATATACTTCAGTGAACTGCAAGATATCCATTCAAGAGAATTGAACAAATCAAAGTATTTCACTTAATAGAAAAAATGTTGATGAAACAACAACATTATATGTTCATTTTTATTTACAACTAAAATATTCAATAATATAATATTAGATCTACAGTATTTTTTTTTTCATAGTCTCTTTATTTTATTTTTATATTATAAATGTTCAAATTTATATATTGCAATGTTCATATATAAATGTTCATTTTTTTTTCTAGTAAATGTTCATTTGTGTTGGCGCGATTTTAGGTAAAAATTTACGAGGGAGAGGCGCATTATGGGCTTTTTCCTCTTACGTTCAATCTAGCCCCTTTGTGTGACATTGTCGTAGTATCCATTCAATTTGGGCTTTGGCCTATTAGACTAGTTCAAAGATCATTAATTAGTACCTCTAACTATGATATTATAACGACGACCCAAAAGAACAAACTTAATTATCTCCATATAATTACATCCATTATATCAATATATATATTAAAACTCAATGGCAAGGATTGTAATCCTGCCATGTGTCGCTAATCTCGCTAATCTCAATATATATATTTAAACTTGCAAACCGAAATAATTTTGGTTAATTTCTATAGATTTGTGATTTTTTAAATAAATTTATAAATTAACAACTTAATAAGATCCAAGCAAAAATTTGCCTAACAATAGTCTCAAAATTAATCTTTACATGCAAATTACATAAACAACATTGAATAATTAGGTCAAATTTTAGATCCATCGACCATTACCCAGAAAAATACAATACATAACCTATAACAAAAAATATGAAATTAAATTGTAAATATAGCATAAAATAACTTAAATTTCCAACTTTAACTAAGCATTTCACCTTCTATTTCTTCCCCTACTATTTGCTTCTTGGTGGAATCCTAGTGGATGACCATCTCAAGGTACTTGTAGATGACGACGAGTCATGAAATGGCTGTAGCGCGGTTGTCGTGGATTCTTTAGTCAATATTGTGGACAAAGAAAAAGAAAGCGAAGAAACAAGGAAGCTAAGTTGTATTTTTTTTATTTATTTATTTTATTTTTTTTTTTTTTTTTGACAAGCAAACAAGCAGAGAGCTTTTATTAACTACTCGAAGGGCTTAAATCAGCCAAGACAAAGTTCATAATACTATGAGGAACTTCGAAACATGGCTGAACAATTTGAGGCAATCTGTTTCAACACAAAGCTTTGTGAAACCAAATTCAATAGCAATGAGCAAGCATTGTCTCATGGCAAGAGCTTCAGCAATGTCAGGCTCGAACTTCCCTCCCAATTGAAGACAAGTAGAGGCAACTACATCCCCAACCTCGTCTCGCATAACTCCACCAAGTCTCGCATACTATGATCAGGGAATGCCGAGCTGCCACAGCCTCTTTGATAGCCCTCCACGCGAAGAGTTTGATCTTTGGTGGCACATCAGCGTACCATACAACATTCCAATCAAAATTGCAGCTTGGTTAGAGGTGGTGGCCTTGTTATTTTTTTGCTCCATGGTAATCAGATTATAAGCACTTCTTACAGAGTAGCGCCCATCATTAGTAAAGTGCCACATCCAAGCATCCAGCCTATTATAGAGAGGGTTAGGTAAACTGCAGATTTCAGTTACCTCAACTGTGGAAAAATACTCCTTCAGAACTTGAGTATTCCATGAGTTGTTCAGCCAGAGGTCTCAAACAAATATTGGTGCCCCTTCTCCCACATTCTGCCTCGGTATCACTTTAAAGTCTGGGAGGTTTGGATCCACGGATCTTTCCAAATTTGGATGGTAGAGCCATTTCCCACTGTTTTTCGAACACCCTTCCTAAGCAAATCCCGAGCTCCTAAAATCAACCTCCATGTATAACTCGCGTTCGGGCCAACTTTAGCATAAAAAAGGTTCGAGTGAGGGAAATATTTTCCTTTTAACACTTTCGCCACCAAAGAGTTCTCATTTGTCGAAATCCGCCAAGCTTGTTTAGCTAACAACGCCATATTGAACTTCTTCATATTTCTGAAACCGAGGCCCCCTCCTTTTTTTGGCGTGTACAACTTGTCCCATGCAACCCAGCACAGTCTTTTCTCCTCCCCCTTTTTGGCGTGTACAACTTGTATTATAGGATGGAATGAAAAACCATTCCCATTGGAGATACCCTGGAACAAAGAGTGGGCTCATACAATCAATAAAAATATCAAAGGGTTTCCTCGTACACTCGATAAAAGAGCAAAGTGTTGGCTCGTAAATGATTTATGAAAAGGACAAACATACAACATATGTAGATTTTTCTGAGACCAATTTAGTTCGGAGATCAGAAGCCAAATGGCTAACTCACCTAGCAATAAATAGGTAATCATGGTAGGCTCTGCTAACCATCAGTTTGTAGTCCTGATTTAGCTCACGTGATGAACTGAAGCTTCCATCGCTTCGATTATTTTTTATCAGCAAGAGCTGGAGGATCTCGATTCACAATTTCAAACCCTGATAGTTTGACCTTGCGTTTATTAGCTATATCAATAGCAGACTGATGGATCTTATCAACCATGATGTTTCTTCTCGTTTCATTAATGTCGTGTGTGTCTGTAAGATAGCAGATAAATATTTTTTTTTTTGCGATTTTATTTTGTCTAATGAGAAGCTTATGGTTAAACCTCTCCAATAGTCCAACCACAAGAACAGGGCAAAAAGGATAAAGATTAAGGACAGTGCAGAATTTAGATCTTCATGCTGAACAATAAAAATCTGAACATACCTATCTCACATATGCTTTGCTTGGGATGCTGTTGACAGCTCTAGGATGCAGGTCAAGAATACCTAGCAGAAACAATAGGAAACGATCATTAAAATGACTAAAGAGAAGATAATTTGCTCTGCTTCTTTTTAAAAGATTACGGGAAATATTACTGAAATCATTCATGTCTTACCAACAGTGTCAATGGTCCCAGATTCTAAAACATGCTTTTCAAAAGCCAATGGTAACTCCGCAGCAGCTAATCCTGCATCATTTCTGCAGAAGAAAAATGATACTGACAGTAACTAAACAATTTATTTTATAAGCATGGACAACCCAGAAGGAAATGACATGAGGGAATAATTTTACAACTTTGAATGAAGAAATTAATTAATGTAACAACATACAATGAACTTCAATCAGGAAAAGGCTAAAACATATATTATATACTGCTGACAATCAGTGTACATCTAGGATGTTAACATTGGATAGACAGCTATTCACTGACTGGGTAAATCTACAGCATGCATACCAAAATCATTAAGCATTTTCACCTGTTTGGCATCAGGGCAGCAGCTGCATGACCTCCATCCCCTTCAGAGTCCACTTTGATGCTAGTAGGAGCAGCAATGGCAGTAACGACACCAATTGGAAAACCCATAAAATAAGAATTTTAAAAAAATTTAGAAAAGCAGGAGCAACACATTTCCAGTTCTGTGAGGGCATCAAAGTTATACAAGAAAAGGTGCGCCTTCAGCTTCCAAAATAGGCCCTTTTTTCTATGTGCAACTCCACAAATCCAGAGTAAGCTCCATAATTCATATGCACACTAGACAGGTCATCTTTATCTCTGGCATATCCAGCAGATTTTGCAGCATCTAGAAAAGATACAATTTGACTATCAAATGTATTCTTAAGAGCTTTTTCCAAGGGTTTCACTTCCAGCTATCAAACGGCTGCATTTTTAAAACAGTACTCAAGGTTAGAACCTCACAAGTATCTTCCTCCCACAATGAAACCAAAAAAAAAAAGGCCATTATGAAAAAGTAGTGATGGAAAATTTAGCCATGCCTTCCTACGCAGCTGATACCAAACCTAGTAGGCTCTTCTGATGTGAACATTATTACTTCCAATGACCTTTTTGGCTTAAATCCAGCCTCGTAAATCAATGCTTAGAATGTCCTGAATAGATACTGGCTGCTAAATAGTGCTAATATATGATAACTTGAAATGATGAAAGTATAGGAAAAAGAAAAGAAGAATCCAGATATATATTCACAGAAAGAAACAGGAATAAAACCTTTTTTTTTTTTTGACACAGGAGTAAAACTTAATGAAGTAGCTAATTGTCGTTTGCCAACTGATTGTCAGCATTGTTAAAGAATAACAAAATGCCTAGCAAATTTGATGTAATATAACATTGACCTTTATTTAGCATGAGTAGGGCATACTTAGAATACATTTCCAAGCTATGTGAAACTCATGCTTTATAATCCTACGATTCTGTGTATTTACCTAAACTGGTTTGAATAGTTACACACTTACACCTGAAGTCAATATCTGACAAGCGAAACTTACTTCTTCAGCACATTAATGTCTTCTATTGCACCTAAGACACCAACAACTCCATCATACTTTCTAGAATACAGAATTGCATCAATGTGAGAACCAGTTCCAACAGCAGCACAGGCAGTATGCTACAGATGGCTGAATGCGCGTTGTAGTAGCTTCTACAAGGATTTGTAATATATTCTGGCCATGAAATATTGGCCATGGACAATTAGGCAGCAATTTACATGCTCCACATTGAGTCACAACAGACCATAGAGCATAGAAATAATGTTGACCATGGGCTACAATTTACATTTAATTCAAACAAAGGGTTAGGATCATATGACAAAGCATTACCTTTGAGGTTTATATAAAAAAGTTTGAGGGGACATCTCAACTTTGAAAATAGGTTAGGAACAAGGAGGAAACACAGAGAAAACAGCGGAAAATTGCACATTCCCTGTCTAAAAGGAAGAAAACATCATTCTTCATTAACCCCCACATTAACAACCTCAAAAAAATTCTTTCGGTGGAAAGAGGGGGTAGAGGGATGTTCCCATCCAAAGATTGAGTCAAGGTGCTAGTCACAGACCATAAAATTAGAAAAAGATTCAACAACTTACCATTGACTAAATATGTTAACAATTGTATCCACCTGACCGAAAGGCCAGCAAGTCCCATCAAGTTCTTGATATACCTGGAGAGAGAATACACTATATTACTATTTACAATAACTGGATGCTCAAGAGTATATATGTAATAAATCAAGAGAAAATATTAGGTAATATAAATATCAGTCCTTGATGGTAGGAAGGCAGAGATTACAAGATTTCCAACAAGCAATTTGCACCTTCACCAGTTACATGAGAAGAATCAAATTTGAGCATATGGCTAGTAACAGGCTGTCAGGCTAGAATTCTAAAGAATGTCTAATGCAACAGTTGCATATATAAACTCCAACACACATCTCTGGGGTAAAGTACCATTCAAACAAAATAGTAAGTTTCTGAAAACAAAATTGATTTAAACTAAGAGAAAAATTCCACACATTAATTAAAACAGGCATACTTATTTTAACACAGAAACTGAGCTATAATATTAAGTGGCTCCAGCCGAAGGTGAAAGTATCTTACAAAAGCCCAACGGCAGCGTCATAGATAAATAAATACAAAATAAGCTAAACCAGAAACAGACATTTAATTACTACTAACTTCACCCCATTTCACATTAATATTGATAGAATAATCATCTCCCTCTATTGTCATGGAATCACTTGATGCCCCGATTTGGAATTCAGTAGAGGACGACAAGACTTTGTCAGAATTTCCATTCCATAAATTTGCTTCAATCACCAGAGAGGATTTTAGTGGAACAACAACCACTGACCTAGATAAGGCTATCATCCCACTATTCCCTATTTGTGTCGAATCTTCTTGATTCCTCTGAAAAAGCACAACCCGATAGTAATCTTTTTTGTAGCGGGATGTATAGTCATAATTGTTGTATTCAGCGATAAGACTTCCATACACCTTTGGATGAAGATCGACATGCCCATTCTTCGATATATATGAGACACCAATATTTGCTTGTACAGCTTCTGAAAAGACACTGTAATGTAGAGCTACAAAACACTTATTACCAAGAACAACTGATGATAATTGATTGCCAAGGCATAGAGAGCTATAGTCACGGGATTTCCAATCCCATTCCACACAGCCTCTAATGTGGAAACGATTTTCAACATCCTTAAGATCAATTTTCATTTCTAAAGACTCACAATCATCATACACACACGAACCATCTAACACGGGTAAAGTAGTCCTATGTTCCGATAGTGTAAAAGCATGCTTTGCTTCTCTTTTGAAGACTTGGAAAGTACAAACAGGAGATGATAGTTCAATAAGGCCATAAATTTGCATAGCTTCAAAATTTTCTCGGCCTATGAAAACAGTAAATATCTCTACGACAGGAGATGCAAAAGGCATGTTCTTGTGTGCGCGCAAAAACCTAAAGAAACAAGCAAACACATAAGTGATGTTATTTAAAACCATTATCATTTCACACTCTACATAACAAGGATCCAACTTAGAAGAGAGTCAAACACATCCAACAAATTTCCATAACCAAAAACAAGGAAGAACTGCATACCAAGGGAGCCTGATGTTTGATGACTCTTCATGAACAAAAGCCTAAATACACGGAGAAATCAATATCAGATCCATGCATAAAAGTAAATAACAAAGAATAAATGACAAGCATTAAATTAGTGTGGTATAGACAATATACCTCAATCATTTGTTCATCACTCTCTCTTTTGGTAGTTTCTTGTGGAGATATTTCATCACTGAAGGACTAAAAGAGGAGGGGGGGATTCATGTTAAACTCAAATGACAGAAGAAAGTAGACAAATGATGAATTGAAAGACAAGATAAGACTCTGCTTGTCAAGAGGGAAATAACAGGGCAAAAATACGAAAAAGGGATAAAAGTACCTTGTCCCCAAGCTCGATACCAGTGCATCTTCCTTGTGGCCTAGGTGAGTGCCATCCCACACGAACAGTGATAAGCATGTCATCTACAATAAACATATCCTCAGACACCAGTCCATTTTCGACTCGCAATTCTACCGTTTCTTTAAGAATCCTACGTTCTGTTCCGAATTCTGACAAGTCCAAATCAAGAATAAAGGGCGAATACGGTGGCACACCAACCCAACCTCTAGAAAGTCTCATGCCTCTCAATCTTTTTCTCGGACCAATATCCACTCGTTCGAATTCATTAGATTGCTTTTCAAAAAGAGTATACTCTTCTAAAGCGTGGCTCCCAAAAAAATTGCCAAACCGAGCAACAATTTTACCTTTGACATTAAGATAAGGATGATTTTCTTCATCTAATTTATTGCTCTGTTTAGGAGTAAACAGAATTCTCACACGACCATAAACAGCAAACGGCATGGAAATATAACGCATCGAAAGGGCACGGGCACCAAGCTCATCATGAACATATACTAGTTTTACTTGTCCAAAGTCAGTGATATCCTCGTCACAACAAATGTGCTCAGCAAATAGTTTCTTACCTCCTGCACAAACATCTACTACAACCCTAGTATTGGGAATTGACATGCAAATGTCCAATGGTGAAGACAAACAATCTGGGCTGATGAGTGTTAAGGTGCCACTTGGTCCAAGAAGTTGAGCATTGTCACACTTACGGTTGTAGAGATCATGGACAATCTTTTCTCCAGAAGTTGTATCAAAAAATTCAGCATATATTCTACCATAAATAGTGAGTGGTGTGTTTTGATCTATTATATCAGGTAGAACTTGGACAGAAAGTACCTGAACCAAGGGTCCTGTTATAATAGATTCTCTACCATAAACCTTCTCGCGTTCCCTTCTCATATGGAGCTGTTTTACCGAACATTCAAAAATGTCTTTGCTGAAAGTTGGGTATTGCGAAGTTTCTAGTATCTTCTCCACTTCTTCCCTAGAAACATTGTTGTATTTCTCTATCAGATTCTCCAAATCCATGAGTTCCTGCAAACAAAAACGAATTTTAGGGTTGTGCAATACAATAGCATTATACTAATTATACAATAGCATTATACAATACAATATAATTATACTAATTATACAATACAATAGCATTATACAATACAATACAATACAAAAACCACCCAATTGCCCCTACAAAAGGCTCCTTACTCCCAAACATTATACTAACATTAAAGGGTTGTGCAATACAATAGCAACCAAATTTAATTCAATTATCTCAGAATTTTAGGATATTCAATTCAATTATCTCAAAATTTTAGGATATTCTATTCAATTATCTCATAATTTTAGGGATATTTGATTCAATAATCAAATTAGGCTCATAAATTTCTTTGCTTTTGGTTATGATGGTTTCATAATCTTAGAATTTAGGACAAATATTTCAGATTTTCGAACCCTAAACTTACTTAATGCACTGACAATTAAATTACTGTGAAATTGATATGATGATAACAAATACAAACAACTTATCTCAGAAGCTGCTTCAATGGAGGATACAAGAACTAGATTCAACGGAGAACGCTTCAATGGAGAACGTTGAGTGCGCTACAATGGAGAACGTTGAGGGAGCGATTCAATGGGTTGGACGCCTTCGAACCTAATTGGTATACACTAGACCCTAGTGTAGGTACCACACCCTACCACCCCCCCTCTAAACGATGTACAGTAAAAATCAAACCACCATTTATCTTTTTTTACTTTCTCTCTCCTCACCCATTTTCTGCATTTTCTCTCTCTACACCCATTTGCATCATTTTCTAATCCAAAATTTTCAACAAACTTTGCGACAAATTATCCAAAAAAGTTGTTCAACTACTACATACTTCAACATCAAGGTCGAAATTCAGAGGAGTAAGTGATTTTGCTCATATTTAATTCGAAAAAGAGTATAAACCCTAATTTTTATAATTTATTGTTGCAATTATGTTATAGGAACATTTACTATTTTTAGTTTTAAAACTAGTAATTTGAACAAGTACATTTTGAATTTTGAGTATGAAGTATTTCATTTTTTTTTATTGCAGTATGAAGGAAATAGCTTCGGAGAAGAACATCAAAAAAAATCTGGAGAAAAGTAAGCATTAATTAAATTAGTTCGTAGTGGTTTTTTTTTTTATAAAAAAATTATAAATGTTCATTTTCATTTTGATAAATGTTCATTTATATATTAGTATACAATCATTCACATGTTAATAAATTATTAATACAAATATTTATTTATATATTACTACATAGTCATTGTAAAAATCTCCTATTGTAGATCAAGAATTTTTAAAAGATATTAAAACTTATGGTATAGATGTTAACATTTCTACAATTCCGAGGTAATATATGAACATATACTGAATTATAAATGTTCAATTGTATATTTGAATCTATTTGAGTTTATATTTGACTTTATATGCCAAAATAAAAAATGTTCATTTTTATGAAATGCATAAATATTCATTCATGTGAGTTGAGAAACTGACTTATGCATACTATGAAATCTTTTGATCATATATGAAATTCATAATGTTCATTTACATACATAGTAATGTAAATCAATGTAAGTATTATACTATAATCTTAGCAATTTTTATTGAAGAACTAATAAATTATATCCGTACATTCTTCAGTTTTGTTGCAGAGCGAAGGAAACCGTTTCAGAGAAGAGAAACAAAGATTATAGTTCGCAGATATTTTTATTATTATTATTATTTCTTTTTTTTATTTTTATAAATGTTCATTTTCATTTTGTTAAATGTTCATTTATATGTTAATAGATGATAAATGTTAATTTACATATTGATAAATGTCCATTTTCAATATATATAAATGTTAATTTACCTATTGATAAATGTTCATTTTCGTTCTTATTCATGATCAACAAGTAAATGCATTAATTTTAAAATGAATATGTGCATATACTTAAAAGTTCATTTTTATACTACTAATTAAAGCACCCAATTATATCATGAATTAGTTATTTTAACAAATTTAATAAGGAATTTCAATAAGAGTGTGTGCTATGTTGTAGTTTTCATGGAAATGATTCTTACAATTACAATAAGGAGTGAGTGCTACCTTCAAAAAATTTCAATAACAAGTACAAAATTATAAATTTTATACATTTTTCATCTATAATAATGTTCCTTAATTAAATGTTCAATTATAAATAATTGTATGTTCATTTACAACTATTAATAAAATATGTTCAGTTTTGAAATATTATATGTGCAAAATGACGTCACTTGGAGAGGGGGGGGTGTAGGTAGCAGAAGCTACACCGGGGTGTAGTGAAAAATTTTCACTTCGAACCCTATTAAAAGACATGACCCGCCAGTGTTATTAGGGTTAGATCCGTCTGATAAATAAATGGATTGGGTCTTTATATGATAGTTCAATTATGGAGCACCGCGGGCCTTATAAAGGTTTAAAGTAACCCTGTTTTTAAAAGTGTTTCGACCCCGTTTAATTCACCTTAAAAATAAAAATATTCAATAAAAATAATTTCAGCTCATAAAAAAAAATTCTGTTAAGCAAAAATAATTACATTTCGGTAACAATAAATTCAGCTTAGTAAAAATTAGTAACATTAAAGAAGAAATATAACAGAGATTCGGTAAAAATAAAGTTTAGCAAAAATATTTTCATTTAAGTAAAATCAATTTCTGTTCAGTAAAAATAATTTAAATTCAGCAAAAATAATTTTAGGTCAGTAAAAATATTTTAAGTAGAGCAAAAATAATTTCAATTCAATATAGATAATTTCAATTCAGAAATAATAAGGTGAAGTGAACGGGGCCTTCGTATTAGTTTATCTTTGTACTTTCATTTCTCAAATCTATCTTCACACACCAAAGTTTGTATCAATAATTTGTAAGTTTTTTTAGTTTTTTTCTAAAAAAAAAAATTCGAAAATGGCCGAAATTACATTAAGTAAACTGAGTTTGCAACAAACGAAAAGAAAGTATGGTAACACAAGTCAATTACAAGTTATCATGTGTTAATTGTTGTTAGATGAGTTTTCCTCAAAAAAAAAAAAAAAAAAAAAAAAAAAAAAAAAAAAAAAAAAGTGGATAGGGTAACTCTTTTGTCATGGCCTTTATGGCAAATTAATTGTGTCCAGTGAACAACGCAATTGCATAGGTAGTGTTACCTCTGCGGTTTTAACATCAGCTCATAGTCACCTACATTTTATTTTGAATGCATATATACTATCAAGTGTAGAATTGTATGAGTTGGTTAGTGATCTGTGTAAAACAGTTAATTATTAGTGAATAAATTTGAAAGTGACAATTTTAATACATTTTTTTTTTGAAAAAAAAATATATCAAGGGCTATTAAATTACTAGATCAACCGAAGAAATTTCCAAGATGCGAGGCGAGATTATATCACTTCACACCCGTTGGCCAAACTCCCAAGCTTGAAAGTGAGCCAATTCGTGTGCTATATTATTACCCCTCGCTTTACAAAAGACCATGAAACACTAGTAAAATTAGAACATACCCTTGTGTCACGCTATGTTCATGGCCCAAAATACCGCTTCCACCTCTACAATCTTAGGCCTTGTTTGGTTGACATTATAAAATGGGGGAATTAAAAATTCATGGGAATTGATAAAGTGGGTAGTTGTTTGGTTGACCTAAAAAAGTAAAAATGGGGGAAGTGGGAATTCATGGGAATTTCAACTTCCCTCAAAACATGGGAAGTAAATTACCTAGCCCCCCCTTGGTAAACCACAATTCATGGGAATTTCAATTTCCCTCATTACCAACCAAACACACTTTAGAAATTCCTAGGAATTTTATTAAGGAATTAACTTCCCATGAAGTATAAATTCCTATGGGAATTAAATTCCCACATCAACCAAACAACACCTTTAGTCTCTCATATCTCACACCATTTCACAGTAAATCCTCAAAGCACCACCCCCTCACTATTCTTGCAGACTGCACCCAACCTCGTCCCCACCTCCCCCAAAACATCAGCATCAACAATAATCTTATCTACACCAGATGTCGGAGGAGACCAGTCCATCGAGACACTCTTTCCACCCCGGCCCCTCCATTCCCCATGTTATTCAACTTTTCCACCTCACGGCCCTCCTTACTAATCTTCAAAGTATACACAACTATTTGCTCAACATTCGGATTTTCACCCTTAATCACCCATTTAATTTGTTCCCGCATTAAACGCTACGACCACCCTTCTCCTTTGCCCAAATCCTCCTCTGTCCTCTGACCAAGAATTCGTGGGTCTTGGGTTAGGGATGTCGCTTTGCCAATTGAGGGGATGCATGAGCTAGCACCAGAGGTGAAGGGGGGAGGGGGTGACGGTGGCTAATAAGTTTGGAGGTGGTGGTGTGGGTGGCTGGTTGATGGTTTTGTTTTGTTTTGTTTTTTTTTTAAAAAAAAAAACTATAGTAAGTTGAAGTTAACCATTTAATAAAATAAGGTTATATAGTGACTTATAAGTGAGAAGATTCTTAACTAAGGCCCTGTTTACTTCACCTTAATTTTGCTAAACTGAATTTTTTTTTACTGAACTGAAATTATTTTTGCTGAACTTAAATAATTTTTACTGAACTGAAATGATTTATTGCTGAACTAGAATTATTTGACTGATTTTCTAATATATTTTTTCTTTATAGTTACTAAATTTTACTAAACTGAACTTATTTTTACTGAACATCATTTTTTTAAGGTGAAATGAATAGAGGTCATTTTATATAATTAAAAAAAAAGGTCACCATTTCAATGTCTCATACATACAAGATCACCATTGAGAATTAAAAAAACACACACACACACAAAATTTTGCTTCTTTAAATCTTCTTTAAATAAATAGAGGTAATTGTTTGCATAATTTAAAAACTTTAAAGGTGCTCTTTATTACTACAAACAAAAAAAAAATGACTAAACAAAACAAATGCTTCCCATGTTAATCGCAATTTCTATCTTACTCCTGGAGTACCATGCACGCGGTACTCCAGATTTATAAATTCACGTTATTTTGATTATAAGTTCTTATTATTTCAGTTTATATATATTATTTTTAAATTAACGTATGTTATTTCACCTTTTTTCTCAGTCATCTTCCTCCCCTCTCTCTTCCTCTCTCAACTACTCCAACTCAAAATCACACACTTTCTTTTCCTTTCTTCTTCCAATTTTCCGGGTTTCCTAGAAAGCAACCTCTCACTCTCTCTCTTCCTCTCACTACTCCATTTCTAAATCAAAGACATTTTATCTCTCGTCTTTTCTTCTTCCAATTTTCTGGGTTTCTTAGAAATCAATTGATTTGAAGCCATTTAAGGGTTCAAATGTGTTCATGTCAAGAAATTTAGTACCTCCTGAAGTGTTTGATTCTCGTTAAACTCAATGCTGCTAATATTATTTTGATGTGAACTTATTATTTTTTCAATTTATATACATGTTATTTTTAAATAAGTACTTGTTATTTTATGTAAAATAAAAATAGCATGAATTTTTTTTTTTTTGACAAAAGCAAAATAGCATGAATTGAGGTTGAAGTAAATAAGTAAATAACATATTGTTGTAACAAAATAACACACACATATAAGCAAAATAACATAAATTTTATGCAAAATAACTCAAACATATTGGGTAAGGATTACCATGATCCATTGTACTCCAGGAGTATATAATACTAATTGCTTTAGGAACCCTTGGTTGACTTTTAGATAAATGTACCTCTTATGCACAAAGTAGAATAGTACAATAAGTAGGTAAATAAAAATAAGAATAGTGTATCATTAATTCATTGGTAAAGCTAATAATATTAAGAGGATATCAATTAGAAATTATTACTAATACTGTTTTACTAAAAAAAAAAATTATTACTAATATGTAGTATGTGTAATTCTAAAACAAACACAATTTTGTAATTGGCATAAGTTACTTTTTTTGGGAGTGTAAAGCAAGACAACAAATAATATAAACGGGATTTGATCTCAGGTTTTGAGTATTACCCCTTTAACCAACTAAGTTAGTTGATCATTCATACTAAAAAAATTTATTAACCTTATAAAAAGTGGATAGAAATTCAAAGTGCTGGGATCTTAGTTCACAATGCACTCATTGAGATAAAGGTCAAAGTCGTTTCACTTGCTAACACCTATTTCCATCTATAAAGATCTCAAATACCTTAGCTTACAAGAGTTAATTCCTGTTTTGTAGATCTCTTCATATATGGAGTAAAATTTATTGAAATTGAATTATTTTAACCTCACATCAATAAACAACTTGAAAATCAATTTCTTATCGAGGATGTAAAGTAGTATTTGAGGAAAAAAATTTACTCAATCCACATAGAACCTTCGACTCTTTATGTAAATCAATTTATCTATGTCAATCAAACAACACTTTCAAATTTACTGGTCTACTTTTAATAAATCACTAACAATACGTTAATTTATTATTTAATCACTCTCATAATTGGCTTACACAAAGTCTTATATGTGGCTGGCTACATCTTGTGGCAGGGGTTACTTTGTTAGTGTAATGGGGGTTACTTGATCAGTGTTGAAGGGGTTACTCGATTAGTGTTATAGGGGTTACTCAGTTAATATTACAGGAGTTACTTGGTCATTTTATATGAATTACTTTGTTTTTTTTTTATAAGTGACCACACAGTATGACTGACCACACACAAGACGGGCTGATTAGCTTATTATTCCCCATTCGCCCATTAGGCAACAACGTTGACTCAAGTAATAAATCTCCAATCTCAAATCAAACATCAAAATTTGACACATCTTTTTTCCCCAAAAGAGAATAAAATACAAAGTTTCTAGACAGTTCGAAATTGAACCAACTAATCTAACAATTATAGCAATCAAATTACAAAGGTACAACCTTTGCAATTACACTTACTAAAATTTCTCTCTCCAACTCAAAAATGGCGGAATTTCAGCTCTTACTCTTGCTCTTCTACTCTTCTTTGCTGTTGTTATTACTTCCCTTTGCTCAAGCTGAAATCTTATTTGAAGAGACATTTGATGGTATAACTCTTAAATTGTATCAATTTTCAAATTCCAATCATTATAATTTTTTAACCTTTATACTTCGTATGATTTTTGTGGGTTTAAAAAATTTACTAAATCTTGTTATGATTCTTGGGAAAACTTGCTTTATTTCATTGTAGTATGATTTGATCGCTTTGGGTTTTATGGGATTTGTAAGGGCTACTTATAAGAAACTAACATTGAAGGAACAGTAATAACATTTATTGATGCGTGATTTTGTCTTGAATTCCGAAATAAATGTTATGTTGGGTGTACTTAGAATTATGATATTTGTAGTAATATTTTAGATTTTTGGGTGTGTTTTTCTTTTGTTTATTTTGAAGTATAAAAAATTATAGAGGGGGGTGAATGGGATCTTTAACATAGGTTAAGCTTGTGTTACTTGAAATTATTGCTGAAAATTCTTAGATGCACCCTGCCGGCACCCGGCTAGGTGTACCCAAAGGGTAATTTTTTTGATCATTGGTTCAATTCTTGCTCATTTGAAATTCTCCAAATGATCAAAAATGGGGTAATGAGGAATAAAATACCCTCGGGTGTACCCAACTCTAGGTGTGTCCGGGTGCATGTTTGTATTTGAAATATGGGAATTTACTGATTTAATAAATGGTGTTGTGAATTTCTGTAAAAGTGAAGATGGATGGAGGGATCGTTGGGTTATATCGGACTGGAAAAGGAGTGAAGGAAAGGCAGGTACATTTAAGCATACTGCTGGTAAATGGGCTGGAGATCCTGATGATAAAGGTAACAACTGTTGCTTTCGAATTATTTTATTTATTTACGGTGCAGTGAAACTTTTGTATTAATGTATTGATCAAATTGTCTCTAGTAGTATTGAGCATTCAATGAGTTGGATGTTCGTTTCATGTAATTTATTCTTAAGATGGAGGCATAACAATATACTCGATTTCATGTTGTTTATTTTATGATCAGTTAGCCTTTATTTTGTATCATCATGTTTTTGGCAAATGGTTTTGATTAGTACAACAGCATGAAAGGTTGCCAAAAGGCCCAAAATGTGTCAATGAAAAAACGGTGAGAGAGGACTTTGAAACACGTGAATGTGAGAAAAAAACTTGCATGATAATGCTTCATACACACTTGGGGGGAGGGGGGTGGTGCAACATGTATTGTTAGTCTATGGGAAACAAGCACTTCTGTTCATGATCTTTTGATAGATTATGTCAAAGCAAATTTAGTGCACCTTCGTATGACTGAGAAGAGTTATGTTCACCAATCGATAGGGTAAGATGAATTAAAGTTTAGATTTATGTTAATTCTACCTAGTCTAAAATAAGAAAAGTGTTTGTTTGATTGTTTCCAATAACCTTCCTAAACATTTTCACAAAAACAAGTGATGATTATATAAACATAATCTTGCTTGCTTAGATTTTATATAAGCATTGGTATATTGTATATATCTGCCACATCCAAGATATGGGGGCTGCCTAGAACTGGCTGTTTTGTCCATTGTCATCTTTCCTAGAAGATCACAAAGCTGAAAACATCCAGCTGGAGACTTGCTTATGTTTAGCACACCAAACTTGGAATTTTAGGTATTCAGATTGTTAGCATCTACGGATCTACCCAACTGATTTGATGATCCTGACTCCCGTTCATGCATACTTTACTTCTTGTGTATTCATTGAAATGAATTTTTATAATCTTGCAGGTATCCAGACTCATAAAGATGCAAAGCATTTTGCTATATCAGCAAAAATTCCTGAATTTAGCAACAAGAATAGAACTCTTGTTTTCCAGTACTCAGTGAAATTTGAACAGGATATTGAGTGTGGGGGAGGTTACATAAAGCTTCTTTCTGGTTATGTGAATCAAAAGAAATTTGGTGGAGATACACCATACAGGTTTGTTATCTTTCCTTGATAAGCTATATTTGGGCTGGCTGATGTTATCTTTTGTAAACTATCAAGCTGTCAGTCAAATTACTTATTTAAAATATTAGTAAGCTGTATGCTCACACATATTTCAAGACTTCTGCTGAAATTACAATGAAAACCCTGTAGGGTAGTGAGACTGAAGCAAAATAAAGAGAGAAAAAACAAACTGAGATCACTGCTTAGATAATTTGCTGTCCGACGATAAAGCATTTATATGGAAGAAAAACGTAAATCATGATTCTGATTCTGCAGGTCAAGGCCACCACTGTGATGACAAATATAAGTGGCAAATTTGAACATGATAAAAAAATTTAGTGCTTTAAAGTATATGACAAAACAAGATGCAAGACATTTAGCTTATAACAAGAACAATTCAAGAATTAAAATATTCACAAAGTAATTATCCAATGAAACAGAAACCCGACATATTGAAATGAATTTATCTAATGGCTAAGGACACCTCTTATTCTCCATATATTGAGAAAAGGTTCATTTTTCTCTTGTTTATAGTCTCTCAATTCAATATCTTTGTTACTTTTCTAGTCTACACAGTTTGAGTATAGATTTGGCATCTAGTGAAGAACAATGAAACAGTTGTTTTATCGGGGATGTGGATAGATTTGGTTGTGCTTGTATTGCCTTTTCAAATATTGCGCGTGCCATTGTGAATGGTTAGCACTTTTTTTGTTAAGGGAAAAGCTTTTGGACTCAATTTTTTTCAGCCATTACAATGCTCGATAAGATGCAGCCTAGGTCTTTCTTGTATGATATCTTTTGCCTAATCTCCTTCCAGTTTTATTGATGTATGATTTGCAGTATTTGTAATTTTTGATCATGGGATACACATTTCTTAGTTTCATTTTCCTTCTTGTAGTTTGATGTTTGGACCAGATCTATGTGGCACACAAACCAAAAAGCTTCATCTTATAGTGTCCTACCAGGGGCAGAATTATCCACTCAGGAAGGATCTGGAATGTGAAACTGACAAACTAACACATTTTTACACCTTCATCCTTCGGCCAGATGCAACATACAGTGTACTGGTTGATAATCGTGAAAGAGATTCAGGAAGCTTATACACAGACTGGGATATTCTTCCTCCAAGAAAGATCAAAGATGTTAAGGCAAAAAAGGTATGAACTTGTAAATAGTGAAAGCTAAAATGAATCTTGAGCTACTTGTTTCAAGAAGCAATTATTAAACATTTTCTATGTAAATTTCTCAGTATCATTTTTTAGAAGCTTCCATACATCGTGTTGCCATGCTATCTTTTCATAATTGTAAATGAGCAAAGTTTAACAGTGTTCATTTAAAAATATTTTGAAGCAACCTCTTTTACTCCTTTTCCTTATATTTGGGATACTTCATAAGCTAGCAAGGTTGATCTTTAACACATATCTCTAATATTGTTGTTCAGCCTGCAGACTGGGATGATAGAGAATATATAGATGATCCTAACAATGTTAAACCTGAGGTACAATTCTGTCTACAGTAAATAAATAGTAATCTGAATATTTGAATCATGTTGCCTTCTCTTTTTATTTTTATAATGTTCTTTGATCAGGGATATTTTGTTGATGTTGCAGGGCTATGACTCAATTCCACCTGAAATACCTGATCCTAAGGCCAAAAAGGTTTGCAGCTTTAGCATTGGCTAGCACTAATGTATTTACTGCTAGGATTTAATATGGTTCTCTGCTCTTAGTCATCCATCAAGTATAGACGTTTTCATCCCACCTTTTCATTAAGAGAAAAATAGTGTGTTGCAGTCCAAAAGCTTGGGTGGTTACTTTGCAGTTTCGGGTACATTGTGCAGAAAAATGAATAACCTTAATGACTTTGTACTACTTTGCAGCCTGATGACTGGGATGAAGATGATGATGGAATTTGGCGAGCCCCAAAGATCCCAAATCCTGCTTACAAAGGGCCATGGAAGCCCAAGGTGATGCCGTGTGCTACTTGTACATTTTTTATGTTTCGCAAGTATCTTGTCTTATGTTAGACTAAAAAAATCACTTGCTGCAGAAAATCAAGAACCCCAACTATAAAGGAAAATGGAAGACTCCATGGATTGACAATCCAGGTATGGTTCCTTCTTTTTCAAAATTGTCAAAGGTGTCTGGAGGAAGGAGCATATCCTTGGTAATATTCTTTGAGAAATTTTCTGTTTCTATGGGTTGTGGGAGCAGGCAAAATGCTGTTCATATTTTTCTCTGATATGTTCACTGATTATTGAATTCTATTGTGTTAATGACAGAGTTTGAAGATGACCCAGATATTTATGTGATAAGGCCTGTAAAATACGTTGGCATTGAAGTTTGGCAGGTTAGATTTGAACCTTATTCTTAGTGATGCTACTTCTTTGGAGAATGGACCTTAGTTAGTTTCCATTCTCATAATACTGATAAAGTGATAATAATGTGTATTAAAAAAACCTTACTTTTATTTGCTTGCTAAATGCTGACTTGAAGACCTTTCATTGTTTGTGCACTTGCGTGTCCATCTGTGAGCTGTGGCTAGACTGGCTGCCAGCTTTAGAAATCAAAATACTAGTATAACTTCAACTACTGAAGCTCTCAGTTATTGAGGAAAGTTACTAACACTAAACACTAACAAACAGTACATGATAGAACTATCTTTATTCCGTACATGACTTCAGAATATCAGTAGTGTTACAAATGTGATTAGGAAAAAAAAAAATCTTTTATACTTGTGCAAAACCCTTATATGGCTGAGTGCAAAATTTTCTGTTTCTTTTCTCGTTTATAGTGCTGGTTTCTGATGTGAGACGCTGCCTTCACATTTGACATCTACTGTAATTGCAGGTGAAGGCTGGTTCAGTATTTGACAACATTTTAATCTGTGATGATCCGCAATATGCAAAACAAATTGTTGAGGACTACTTTGCCAATAACAGGGAGGTGAGTTGTAGCTTGTTTTCGTACTTAACAAATACAAGTACTTGTTTATATGGACACTTGGACACGTACCCCTGTCGGACATGGGTACCTCAATATTGATGATAATAATTGATATTGTATCAATTGATCCGAAAATTTTGATTAGGTACCATTAATATCAATATATATAATATCTGAATTATACCATTAAACTGCATTACCTGATGATAATAATATCAAATTACCACAAATTTTAGGTTCAATATCTACAGTGAAATCTGTTTGTTACCTTCTGCGACATGGAACTGTGCTGTTGCATTAACTGCAGATGTGATACAATGACAGGCTGAAAAGGAGGCATTCGAGGAAGCTGAAAAAGAGAGAAAAGCTCGGGAGGAAGAGGTGATAATAGTGTTTTAAATTACCCTATTGTGGCCAATGGCTAAAAGGTAGCTGCTTGTGCTTGTTAATTTCTGAGATGGTTAGTACATCTTATGTACAGGAAGCTCAAAGAGCAAGGGAAGAAGGTGAAAGGAGGAGAAGAGAAAGAGACCTACGCCGGGGAGACAGAAGACGACATAAAAGGGTATTGCATTTGAAACTCTAGCTTAAAAGTTTTTGTTGTTCGCTTGTTCATTAGATGATGCTTATTGTGGATTGATATTAGATAACCTAAATGTTGTGTTTGTGCTATTGTTCAATTTTAGATGTAATTTCAACAATGATAAAGTCAACATGAAAAGAGGCTATAGTACAGGTGCAATCAATTTAAAGCATTGGGATAACACCCTTAAAAACTAAGTTTCTGTAGATGAGTTCATATAGAAAGCTAAGAAGTTGAGCTAGTTTAGATAAGTGTAAGTAAGCTCTGTTAAAGGCTACCAAGTCCATTTCGCAACTAAAAATAAATTCAGATGAGGTTGATTAAGTAAGGAGTTTTCAAGTGAACATTAGGATGCTTCAGAGGGGTCTAGGTTGGATATGTATAACCAGTGGCGGACCCAGGAATTTCCGACTGGTGAGTCACAATTGATAACCAAATATGTAAAAAGAAAAAATTTACCAAAATTCCCAAGAAAAATTATTTACAAAGATCATCCAAATAGAAAATTGACAAGATTACAGTACTGACTAATAATTAACAAGCTTAAAATTGACAAGACTAAAATTAACAAACTAATAATTAACAAGCTAATAATTGACAACATGACAAGCTTAGCTCTCTAATAATTAACAAACTAATAATTGACAAGATTAAAATTTGTACAAGCATTAGGTTCACATTTCATCAAAAACCCAACAACATTAACAAAAGGTTCAAAGTTAGTATTTTTTTTTAAAAAAAAAACTTAGAAAATAATTTATTTATTTATTTTTTTTTTAAAAACTTAAAAAATATTTTGGGTCCTGGTGAGTCATTTGACCCACCAGGCATAAGGCCAAGTCCGCCAATGTGTATAACATTATTCTTATAGTCACAAAAATAAACTTTGCTTTTACCACTTCTTAAAACACTTTTCCTAGTTTGCTAAATTCACAACAGCATAATCAAGAACTCATAGCATAGTTTATGTAGTTGTTATTGTCTTCTGTTCAAGGCTCATAATCAAGTTTCTAACCTTTATTTACTTATTTATTTTTATTTTTTTTTTATTTTTTTGGTGTGCAGCATGACCCCCGTGATTACTTGGATGACTACCATGTAAGTGGAACTTGTTATGTTATATGTTAACAAAATTGCTGGATTTGTTGCCCACTCAGAATAACTTGCTGTATATAACCTCCGTTTTAGAATGTTCTTAGCGTTTACTGTTTAGTGTATTTACACACAAACAAAGTCAATTGGATACGGAATGTTGATTCGTTGAGTGGGTAAAAGAGTGTATAAAAAGATATGGGAGGTTTAAAAACAAAAAGGTGGATAAAGTCAGAGAGAGATTAACTGAAAAAAATTTAAAATATCATGGAAATAAGAGAGGTAAGATAGAAGGGGTTTGCCAAAAATGAAATAAAGTGAAAGTGTTGAGTACTTTCAGAAACATGTGTAAACAGAAATTTTCAAAACAGAGGTAGTATGTGAGTATATGCATTATTGCTGGATTCACTTTGTTTCGCCTTTTTTGAGCTATAATTAATATTCACCGAATTTTTTGTAGGATGAACTATGAGAACTTAATCCATCATTTTTCTACATTGGAGACCTAAAACAACAGAGGCTGTTTACAATGCTGAACTCTTATATGGTGCTCTGATGATCCTCAATTTGTAACATTTTAATTTTTGATGTGTATGCTTAGTCAAGTTATTCAGAAAGATATCCTGCTGCCATTTTGTGGCCTTGAGGATCTTCTTATGAACTATGACTAATGTATTCAAGTAATTTGTACTCCGAAATTGGGGTATGAAGAGTAGACTTGAATAGAGCTATTTATAATTTCCTTTTTCTCAAGTGTAAATCTGTAAGCTTTGATTGTTAATCTGATTGTATGGAGATAAAGTTAATTACAAGTGAAAATAGAGATATATCCAAAGCATTATTTATTGCTTCCATGAAGACCTTAGGATACAGATTGAGGAGAGAAGGGGGCTCATTTTTGGGTTGGGGAGGTGTAGATAAGGGAATTCCCTCAAATGAGTCCCATGAGGTTTGACCTGTATACCTCAGGGATATAAGGTGGGAGCAATGCCACTATTCCATCACCTCAATCTCATTTGAGAAGGTTTGATCATGTGGAAATGAAACATAGAAAATTTGGGATACATGGATGTATAATGTATGTATAAACTATAGCAACTGGTTTATGGCTTCAGGGCTACCTGAGTTCAGATCTGATCACCAAATATCAGTCTTTTGCAGTCTGAAGCATCCAAAAAACAGGTTAAAAAGGCTCCAACACAAAAATAAACCTAATCAGCCTAGAAAGTTAAAGCAAAATCAGCAAAGCTTTTGAAAAGTGAGGATGATCACGCCTTTTTCTTTCAAGAAAATCCAACAAATGTTTTATGGAGGCACGGCATGAACATTGCAATTCCATGGATTTGCCATCCTCGTATAGCCCAAGCACAAACTAAAAAAGAGCTCTATTTAGTACATTATAGCAACAAAATCCCAAAAGATTGGAACCAACTGCTACAGCTTATCACACTGTTTTATCTACAGACAAATTATAAACTAAAAATTATCCTTTGCTTGGCGGATGATGCGCAAAGCTTCAGCATCATCTGCTGAGGCCGGAATGTTTAATGATTGCCTGATCTCAGTACTTGAAGCCCGAAGGAAAGGATTGCAGGACTTTTCTAACTTCAGAATAGTGGGTATCTGTGCAAAACAATAATTGCTATGCCGTGAATTGTGGGTGTAGAAATTGATTACCAGCTGTAAACCTTAAATGACTCATTGCAAAGTAAACTGCTAGAATAGTGATTTAGAAAATTAAATTTTAAGTAGTTCAAATCAGTAACTCTGCACAGCTCTAACATACACACAGAGGAAACTAGTAAAAATCCTTTTAGCCAGTATACAATGAATACAGTGAAAATCAAGTGACAAGACGTGCTAAGTAGAGTAGTATACTAGCAGAATTCAAGGGACAAAATAGTAATACGACTAATTCCTTGTATCAAATTTATAGCAACCGTTAGGCATATGAGTTAAAATCAGGTTTGTACAATGTAGGTCAGTTAATGAATTACTTTGTTATAAGATTAACAAACAGAAAATGGCAAAGATTGATCATATTTAAATATTGTGAACAAGATCAAGACATTACCGTTGGCAACCCTTTGTTGCGTAATTGTGCCACACGTGAAGCATAAGATTGAAGGACTTCATTATTTGGCTCTATAGACAATGCGAACTTTGCATTGCTCTGTAAAATAATTGTCTTAATCATTTGCTCCACCGCATTTACAACAAACATATCAAAACAAAGGAAATGGAACTTACCAAGGTATACTCATGTCCACAAAATATACTTGTATCATCAGGCAACGACATGATCTTTTTAAGAGAAGCTAACATCTGGAGTAGAGACATATATACTTTAAAACATTAATAAGACCATAGATAAATAAAATTCAACCACAACTAAGATAAATTATTCCTCACAACTCAACTCTCAACTTAAAAGCACTAGAATTTACCTACTAACAAAAGCAGACAACAGTACTTAGGAGCTTAAACAAGCTATAAAAAAATGAATAAACTTCCGGGGAAAGATATGACACAATGAAAAGTCTTTTCCAGAACAGAGATTCCTTCCAAGATTCAACCCCCGCTATTTCAATATCAATAGCATAGAATTGTTCCAGATTCAGGAAAATGGAAGTTAATGTTCAATATACCTCTTCAGGTGTTCCTTCAAAAAGCTTCCCGCAAGATAAACTGAATAAGGTGTCTCCAGTAAAAATTGTTCCAGATTCAGGAAAATGGAAGTTAATGTGCCCTGCCAGAATATAATTGGCATTACTTTCTTAAAAGACAATAGCCAACAAGAAATTTCATGAAAATGATTATATATTTTGTTCATCTAAAATCACTTTTTGTACATTAAGAAAAGAAAACCAAGTCATTGAATATCAATAATTTTTCAAGCGACCCACAGCATCATGAATCCCTATGATGTTCAAACATACAACTTAAAATAGAACTAAAGCAATGCGAGACAATTAGCTCTGATCAGAGGCGTTCCTACATTCCTTCAATCTCTCTGCTAATTTGGTCCTATGTCATATTTCTTTTTTTATTGTTTGGATTTATTAAGTATATTATGCAAGCGCTGAATGTAACTGCAGTTCACAGTCTCCATCACTTCCATACACAGCCAGAATACAAGCGTAAAGTGAATTGATAAGCATTCCAAATCCTAAAAGGCATTGTAGCGCTTGATATTGACATTCAAAGTCCAAACATCATTCATTATATACTATCTTCAAGAGCTCAAAAAATCAGCATGAAGCAGGGAAGGTAACTGGCAAACTTTGCCAAAAGCTAAAGTAAACTCACCACAACTAAGATCATCATTTATGGTAAAAAGTAAGAAACAGCAACAAGCCCAAAATTAATACTTTCATACATTCACCATAAGATGAGCATATATTGCAAGTATAACTATAAAGCACAAGCCCAAAATTAATATTTACAGCAACAAGGCTGATGAAGGTTAGAAAATACCTTTTGTATGGCCAGGAGTTTCAATTACATGAACTTCATGGCCTGCAAACATCCACCTATCACCATCATTTAAGGCGATATCAATTCCAGGAATTCTATCTCTGTCTTTCCCAGACCCAATCACCTACAAATAAAAAGAAGACTGATGCATCATACAAAGAATTGAAAAAAGGAACTGAGTGTTTCCTGTCAGACTATCACTGTATGCGACACTGCTACAGTTTACTGAATTGAGATCAGTGATGGCTGCTTTAAATTAGATTGACAAATATTTGCTTTTTGTAGTCTCCAAATTAAGGGCTAAACGCCTAAACATGCAAGTGTTGGTACTTGTGGAAAACTTAGCACAAAATGCTAGTGTTTACAAGTAACGAGAGAAATGTATGCTTACATATGAGAATGATAACAAGAAAGACGACACTACAATAGGTCGATGGCTAAACTGCTAATACTATCAGAAATTTGATTTGCAAAAACAGTAAAATTCAATAATTAAAAAAAAGATCCTCCTCTTCCTTGAAATAAGACCTTTCTTTATACTAAACTTGAACTTTAGATAGTTAATAGAATTTTACTGTGAAAGAAAAAAAATTTAGAGTTGTAATATTCAATATTTCAATGAAGTTTACGAAAAGAAAATCAGTGATGAAATAAAACCTTAAGTGGTCACTAGCACTTTTTGACAACTAATAGAATCTTCCAAACTTGAATATAAAGACAAATAAAAAGCTCCATTTTTACTGCAAGACATAGGCCTGTTAACATTTGTCATCAATATCCTCCAACAAACAGATTTTGTCCTATGTTAACGAGAGCAACATTGCATGAAACACAGCTTGGCCGCAGGATATGCAGACATGCAGTTATGCACAGTTCCTCACCCTACTTTGATCTCTATGGGGAAAAAAAAAGTGCAAGAAGATGAATAGGAATAAAAAGTAAAAGGATAAATACTGGCCAAGATAAAACATTCATAAGGACTAATTCTAGGCAAACTTCAGTCCTTGGTTCACCTCTATTTTAAAAGGCAAATGACCCTCTTACACCACTCTGGGTAAGACCCTCTTTAGAAAAGATCTAACTGACTATGTTGAGAGACTATAGATCAACTTCTAGTTGGTAGAATCATTGATTACATTAATCATCACAAAAATATACAATTACAAGCTGATGCTTCATTAGTATAAACATGTGCCACATTTCATACCTTTGCACCATACCTTTCTTTCAGCTCAATGTTCCCGCCAGTGTGATCATGATGATGATGAGTATTCAGTATGTAATTCAAATTTCTATTCTTTTTGGTCAGTGCATCAATAACAGGTACAGCTTCAGAAGGATCAACAACCCCAACGGTCCCAGTATTCTCATCATGTATGAGATAAGCATAGTTGTCCCTAAGACATGGGATCTGAGGAAAGAATATATAGATCAATGTTAGTCATAAATATATAGAAAAATTGAGTCAAATGAATTAGCTAAAATAACAAAGGTTAATTATAACAAGGGTCACTATAGGGTAGCTTTAAATACCAAAAGGTGCTACAGTGAACAATATATGCAACCTCTTTCATAAAGGGGTCATAAATATTGTGAAAATGGCAGAAAATCTAATCTCATTTGCAAACAAAGCTGTAGAAGGATTGCAAAGTTCTCAACCCATAAACTATACAGAAATACAAATACTACGTAGAAGGATTGCAAAGCAGTAGAAGGCAGCAAATGACCCTGTATACCTATATCCACAATGGCCATGTTTAAAATTCTTTCTGTTCAGAAATCACTATAGTTGCAAACTAATCCCTGAAATTCCACGCATCTCTCACAACCAAAAAATATAATTGGATGCCTCTTAGACACTCTTCTCAACTAGGGAATCTGAGGACTTCTCTCAGGTTTAGAACCTAAGCAAACCTCTAAACAGAAAAGAGAGAGATCCTGCTATTGGCCAAAGCTATTTAGCCCCCTTAATAACATGACACATGCCTTGCAAAGATGGTTCCTAAGCTAAGAGATCAGGTCTGGACAGGATTAGAATATTTCACAACTTTTCCACATGGATACATAAGGGTACCATCAACCTCCTCCCTAGCACATATTAGTATTATTTATACTAATCATTAAAAATTTATATATAAGCTCAAGGCATCCAGCAACAACAACAAAGCCTTGGTCCCCATATTGATTTCTTACCTATGAGTTCAGCACAAAACCAATAAATTGGATACCGTTGGCTAGCACCTGAAAGAGATTAACAGAAAGTAACCACAGACTTACCCTACTTCATATCATTTTAATACCAAGACTTTCACTCTATAAACTGCCACTTCATGTGGGCGGAGAGGCATGAAAAAACCCTCTTCCTACAATTAACA